AATCGGCGTGAAGACCCAACCCACAGCAGCCATCAGCAGGTGAGGAAGAAGAGGAAGCGGAGGAGGAAGAGGAGGAGGGAAGCGGGCAAAGGGGAAGGTGGCAATGGCCCGTTTCAGAGTTCGAGGCCGCCTCCCCCCCACCTCCATTCTCCAGCCCTCCATCAGGAGCAGCGAAGGCACAGCGCGGCTGCTTACAAGGGGTGCACCTTTGCACCTCTGAGCACTTCCTCTTACACACCTGCAATCGGACACACACGCACGCACACACGCACACACACACACACACACACACACACACACACACAGACAGGTCACTTGGAATCAGATTTTCAGGCAAATTTAGTTACAATTACAGAAAGAAATTCATGCTGTTAAATGTAAATAAATATGCAATACAGTTATTTGAAAATTATTAAAAGCCTATATTAATTAGGAATTAATGCTCCGAACCGGATGCCTACCATCTCTGTGTAATCGCTGGTGCAGCCAGGCACAGGCACAGGTATGGGCACAGTCACAGACACACCAGCGGTTCGGAAGAGGGCCGGTGGTGGAATTAGTTTGGCAGGAACAGCTGACAAAAGGCTCCTCCCCTGGCCCTCCCAGATAGCAAGTTCTCTCGGTGACAACAAGAACTTGGAGCAATCCTCCGGAGATGCGAGGGTCGCGTATCGCTCCGCAAGCTTCGTGGCAGCTGACGCTCCGATGCCGACTCCGCCAACACCTGGGACGCTGATTCCCGTGATGCTGTTGTGTCGACACCCGTTGGCCTCAAAGTGGTCGCTCTCGTCGTCGAAACCACCGCTGTTGCCGTGGACGATAAAGCAGAGCATGCAGGGCCCGTGCAGAAAACAGTTCCTCTTCTTCTTCTTCCTGTGATGCAATTTGCGTGTCCTCTTCTTCAGGCGATAACCATTTTTCGAAAAAAGATGGCCCATATAGATGATTCAAGGAAACTCTGGAACAACAAAAAAAAAAAAGGATTGGTCAAATATATATATATATGTTTCAGCACTAACAGGAGGCCGAGCTAAAGGTGACAGAGTGGAAGACGCTCATATTTTCATTGGCAGTGACCAAAATGAACAGGATTACAAATCAGCATATCAGAAGGTCAGCTCAAGTCAAGCAGTTTGGAGGCAAAGTTGGAGAAGCAAGGCTGAGATGGTTTGGACATGTGCAGCACAGGGTTAGTGGATATAATGGACAAAAGATGTTAAATATGTAGCTGCCAGGCAGGAGGAAAAGAGCAAGACCTCAGAGGAGGTTCATGGATGTACTGAAAAAGGCTGTTGTGAGAGCGACAGATGCTAGTTTGTAATGATATGAAAATTCTATGAAAGTTGTAGTGTTAAGACTTGGCATCAAAAAATACGCAATGAAGAAAAAACGATTCAATGAAAAAAGAATTTGATAGTTTCCATCCTCAGTACTACGAATTTATTGTAGTCAGTACATAAACATAGCATAGGTGAATTATTTAGCCCCTGTATAATTAAGAGAACAAAGGATATCCTTTCTTTTGCTTAAAATGACTATTCAAAACATTGTTATATATATATATATATATATATATATGTCTGATACTTTAATACATTTTTATGAGTAAAGATGTATTTCATCAATTAAGAGAAAATGTCTTTTTGCTAACAATGTTTTGCCCCACATAAATAAAATAATACGGGAAAATTGCAGGATCACTAACAGCTATCATTATCATTATCTCCTTTTTTAATGAGGCTTTTTTTCGTGCTTTATTAAGCCTGTCATTAGCTGCTTTAATGTTCCTCTTTTCCCTAAAGGAAGAGTCAACATGAACCTTTAGTAGGAAAATCTAATGGCCATCCTTCAATATTTTCAAGGCTGTTTTTTATAGCTGCAGTGAAAGAATGCTCAAGAAAAGATGGGAACTTTACAAGATAACGCTAGAGTTGTCTGACACACACACACGGGGTGGAGAGTGAGATTAACTTAATCTGGAAGGGTGTATTTGTGATCGTGGTGGGCTCGTGTAAATAATGGCACAGATTTCCACACAAAAAGAAAAGAAAAATCTGAGCCTGATCCTGTATGTCAACAACAATCAGGACAGTCCTTTCTGCTGAAACAGACACGACGATGGACAAGACTGACAGCAACCACATGTGTCATTAAACTCAGCACCGGAGAGCCCAACAACACAGTACTGCAATGAAATACTGATGTTATTTGTTAAAAACACTCACAATTTAAGAGTAAAACCTAAATCTCAGCACAGCACACAACAAAGAGCAGCAAGCTTTGCAGCCGTGCTTGCCTACGATGGAAAAGATTCATGCGTGGATGCTGTGCATAACTTGAAAAATGTTTTGGGGGTTTGGGGTTGTTTTTGTTTTGTTTGTTTTTTAATGATCCACATTTGTTGAGGACGTGAAAAATCTCGTCGGATAACTGCAGCAGTGCAGCACCGGTTGATGGCTGCTGAATCAAAACACAGAGATGTAAACAGTGAACAGGTGGTCATTTGTTTAGCATGTAGAAAAGCCAATGCAGACTTAACGTGACACCTGCGGTTTGCCTGGAATTGCCGCAGATTTGCCTTCAACATTCACACGAACTTAACGCTGTTTTTGAGGGAAAGAAAGACGCGATTGCTTCGCAGTTTTCTGTCAGGCTAGCCTGCTCCATCCCCAGATGCTAAGTTAGCTATAGCCCCAAAAGCAATCATCTCTCACCACTTCACACGGTGCTCCCACACTCCGCACTGCGCTCGCATAATACTGCTAAGCTCCACGGTCAAGATGAACGGTGACGAGCCCCGAAAGGAGAGACAAGGGCTTAGGAAAAACGGCCACTAAATCGCCGTTCTGCTCTTCCAAAACAGTAGCAGCTCTGGTTGTACCTCTGCTGCTGCTGCTGCTGCTCTTGAGGACAGCACTTCCGCACCGAGAGGGCAGCGAGAAGGAAGCCGACGAGGGCGATTCGTAATTCGCCATCAATGAAAATCCTGTTCCCAGGATTTTGGGGATAGAGAAGAACCAAACACTGGATTGATTTTTTTCAACGATAGGTAAATGAAGCTTTGAAAACTGACTTAGAAAACACAGGGTCTAAATATTAAGCTATCTAATGCATACAAATGTGGAATTATAATAGAGTATGAGAATCATTTTGTATCGTGTTTAGATTGTGGAGGTATCGCCACAAGATCATTTAAATTAAAAACAAACTTTTAATTTATTAACCATAGGAAAACTGGACAACCGCCCCAAAATAATCTACTGACAGTGGTTGTTACAGAAAACACTACCTACCTTATAAATTTCTACTCTTAACACCTTTATTCTTGCAGTTACTTTATTTACTGGTCTTCCTCTTCCCTGACAGCTACACATTTAGCACCTTTTGTCCAGTATATCCACTACCGCTCCTCTTCAAATGTCCAAACCACCTCAGCCTTGCCTCTCTAAATCATCAAGCACTGGATATGAGCAGTCCCTCTGGTGCACTAATTTCTAATCCTGTCCATTCTGGTCACTCCCAACAAATAATCAGATTTTATTCGTGAACATAATAGTTGATATTGTGTCTACACACGCTGTATATTATGCGAATTTAAAATAATGAATCCAACATAAAACAAGCATAAAATATACACATACTGCCAAAATACATCAAAGTTAATCAGAATGAACTCATTGTTTGTATCTTAAACGTTTCATGCATTAAACACTTCAAGTCTAGACCACCAAGCAGTATTAGACTAAAGTATGAAATGTAAAACTTAAAAGTCACAAATAGGATAAAATGTATAGTTGTATGTAACTTAACTGGGTTTTCTGCAGTAACTACAGTATATTGCAGCCAACTTGGTCTTGCGAGGAGCTAAAAAAAACACTTTGGGGAGAGAGAATCAGGGCATAAAATTATAATTTATAAACATAACACAAGATGAGAGACTGTTAACGACAATATACATAGCACATGTAATTTTCTACAGTACCGAACTGTACAGTATGTCTACTCTATATATATTTAATATACACAGAGAGATATATAATAATCTGGATGTAAAGTTCAAACTGTATTTCATTGTAAATTCCCATGGCAATGTTCTTCTTATTCTTAAATGTTATTGGCGGTTGGCAAACAACTGATTGGTGCATTACCGCCACCACTAGTATGGAGTGTGGACTGAAATGACGCCCCCCACCCCCCAAAACAAACAAACAAACAAACAAACAAACAAACAAACAAACAAACAAACAAAAAACCTCAAAGCCTTTCAAACACTCTTCCCGCTTTAAAAAACCGAAATAAAGCCTGTTAACTCCTACTTCCAGAATCCTTTTGCAATAGGTCAACCAGATCCAGTTTCATATTCATATTAATGAGGTTTTGGTTTAATTGTCTCCTCTCCACCTGATATTTCAGACAGTGCAATATCACATGCTCTATAGTTTCTGTTTCTCCACAGAAGGCACATTTCCCCGTATTATGTTTCCCAATCAAGAATAATGTAGCATTTAACCCAGTATGTCCAAATCTCAATCTCTATGACCATCTCCTCTCTCCTGCTCCTTCCAGTGGTTCTCATTTCTCCTACCCCCCTTTGTATTGTATACAACCATCGTCCTCTCCTTTCCTCCTCCTACTGCTTTTGCCAACTACTCCTCATTTCTTGCCTTATGATACTCTTCACTTCAGCTTGACCAAAACTAACAGCCATGTCAGCTGTCCCATGTCTTGTGGCTTCCTTCGCCGCTCTGTCTGCCATTTCATTCCCCATTATTCCATAATGGGCTGGAATCCATAGAAACACAACTGTAAGACCCATCATGTTTATTCTGAAAAGTGTTTGCGGAATTTCTGCTAGAGTATCTGCTCTCGCATCTGAGCGACTACACTGTAAACAATAGCTTTTAATGGCCTCATATCCATGGCAATGTTGTTCACTGAGCTGAAATAGGCTATATATAAATAAATGTTGCCTAACTGTTATTGTGAAGTCAGAGCGCGCGCGCACTGACGCACCGGTCAGTTTCTGTTTTGTATTGCCTTATTTATACAACTAAATCCGGAGATTAAGATAATATTAACCAATGTTTAACCAATGAATATGTGTTCGCCGTCTCTCTTCGTTCTCCTGGAGAGAGAGAGAGAGAGAGAGAGAGAGAGAGAGAGAGAGAGAGAGAGCGCGCGAGCATATGGGCGTGAATTTTCCAGGCACCAGCTCCTCCAGGCTGAATTGCAACTCCCAAAATAGCAGCACTGCGAATTCTGGATCCTCTGAGAAAAAAAAATGGCTGAAGTAGTTTCACCAATAACTCGACAAGTAACTAAAGGAAGCCAGGAAAATGTGACCTGTTTTGTGAATATTAATCTCAGAGACGTCGAAGACTGTTTAATTTACGACCGGCATGGAGTTTCTCTTCCGTTCAAGACCCTATACCAAGACAGGAAATCGGTCATAATTTTTGTGCGGGTAGGGAAAACTTCATTTGGCTTAACTTTGCTGATGAGTTATGGGTTCGCATAGGCACCCTACCTTAAGTTGCGTTTTTAACTGGGTCTTGATAGGCTTCAAAGTAGGTGAGCCTAAGTGTAGCTGGCCAGATGCTCCAAGAATTTCCTGTGGTGTGTTGGAAATGGACGAATGAAGAGATCGTTCTTCATAGGTGAAGACAGAGGGATAAATGTTATGGCGCAAGATGTGAATTTTTAAATGCAGTGATCTCTCTCATCACTACAGACTTTTAACATGTTATGTAATATGTGTCCCTGCAGAATTTCTTGTGCTACAGCTGTAAAGAGTATGCTGATGATTTGGGAAAAATACCCAGAGAAGTACTGGAGGTAAGTTCTGTTTAGTAAGGACCATTGCACTAGAGGCTATCAAAACAAAGAGCACAGCTGCAACACTGGCAGCAAAGGTGCTCAGTTGTAGCAATAGGAGGTCTGATGAGTATTAACATAAATAATTGATCATGAGAAATCCAAAATTCCATGTGTGTTGTTGCAGGATGCTGAAATTAGACTGGTCGTGATAGGTCAGTCCGCTTATCATCACATAAAGGTAATTATTTTGTTATATATATACACCCACTGGACACTTGTTCAGCTGCTTGTTAAAGCAAATATCTGATCAGCCAACCACATGGCAGCAACTCAGTGCATTTATGCATGCAGACATGGTCAAAACAACTCGCTGAAGTTTTGAAGAAAGGTGATTTAATTGAGTCTGGTTTTGACATGTGGCCGCTCTATTGGAATTCTGCCACAGTGCCATCTCTAAGGTTTACAGAGAATGGTCGAGAAAAAAAAGGGGGAAATATCCAGTGAGCACCAGTTGTCTGTGTGAAAAGTAAGAGGAGAATGTCCAGACTGCTTCGAGCTGATAAGAAGGCACGAGTAACTGAAATAACCACTTGTTACAACCAAAATATGCAAAAGACCACACCTAGAGCCACTCCTGTCAGCTAAGTACAGGAAACTGAGGCTGCAGTTTGCACAGGCTCAACAAAATCGGGCAATAGAGGTTTGAAAAAAAGCATTCTGGTCTCATGAGTCTCCAATTCTACTTCTACATTCAGATGATAGGATCTGAAGTAAAAAAAAGAATGAAAGTGTGGATTGATTCTGAACTGTTCAGGCTGCTGGTGGTATAATGGTGGAAGGCATATTTTCTTGGTACACCTTGGGCCACTTGGAACCAATTGAGTGTGATTTTAAACTCAGCAGCCTTCCCGAGTATTGATCTTGACCACGTCCATCCCTTTCTGACTACAGTATTTGCATCTTCTGATGGCTATTTCCAGCAGGATTACACATCAAAAAGCTCAGATAATCAAAACTAGTTCAAGGAACAAGAGAAAGAATTCACTATTCACTATATAAGAATTTCCACTACTGCAATCCAGTAGAACGTCTTTGGCATGATGGATGTGCAGCCATCAAAGCTGCACCAACTGTGTGATGCTATCAATTCAATATGAACCAAAATCTCTGTTGAATGTATGCCACAAAGAATTAAGGTCTAACTTTTGCAAGGTGTACCTATTACAGTGTCTGATGAGTGTATATAAATATCACAGCAGGCACTATAGTTTTCCAGACAAATGTACTCTTTCTTCTTGTTCTGTCATGTAGTCGTTCTGCTTGCTCACGGAGTATCCTTATGAAATATATGTGGACCCAGAGAGGCGCATTTACCAAAAGCTGGGGATGAAGAGAGAGGAGACATTCACAGACTCTGGTATGCAAAAACACTGTTGGAGTGTATAAGTAAGCTTATTTTGAGATGATAATGAAACTTTGTCTTTGTATCTGTGTTTGTGAACTCAGCACAGCCTAGTCCCCATGTGAAGTCTGGCGTTTTTATGGGCCAAATCAAGACTATATGGAGAGCCATGACTAGTCCTGCCTTTGATTTTCAGGGTGACCTACATCAACAAGGTGGAGCCATCATTGCAGGACCTGGTAAGTTGGTCTCTCTCTATATATAATGTCATGTGTTAATGTTGCCACTGCATTATATCTTATATCTTTTTTCTTCACACTCACTGTTTTCTCCCTCTCTACAGGCTCCAAAGTCCATTTTTCCCATCTTGACATGAACCGCCTGGACCACATGCCCATCAACTGGCTCCTTCAGCTTGCAGGAGCTCAGAAAACGATTGACTTCAGCGATAAGCCGAAAATCATTCACATCTAGTTAGGTGCCTGCCTGAAAGTTTCATCCCACGTCACTGCTGTAATCACACATGGAGTGTATATACAATCAGCTTCAAACTCTAAGACGACTAAATGAGTTTCTGTTGCTTCTGTTGTGCATTTGAACTCAACTTGATTGACAAATAGTACATTACAATGACTTTATCAGCTTAACACACACCTCTCTCCTCTTCCCTCAACTGTCTTGGCTTTAATAACATCACTCAAACTGAAAGTGCATGCGGCAAGTTTGTGCAAAAACCGATAAGGCATGTTTTCCTGGCATGATCTGAAAGTGTTCCAAATATCTTCTTGAGAAATCAGTGAATGCTTGGCCTTTGCAGTGTCCCCTTTAAATGTTTAGCAGGGCTGAGGTCCAATGACTGTGGAGGAAAAAGTCAATGTCAGCCAACACTCTTTTTTTGTAGTCTTATATAGTTTTCAAGAAGTTCTTGCAAAACTTTGACAAATAAGACAACACGTCTAATTTGTCATTCTCTTTGTCCAACTCTATAGACAACCCTCCCAGAACTGAATATTTATGTTCTGTTTGTCTTCTTAAATACACCATTATGTTACAGACAGAAATCTCTAACTTGGATTCATCATTACATTGATTCCCCCCCCCAGTGGTCTACTGTTAAGTTACATTACTGTTGAGGATAGACAAATTGCAGCAAGAAGAGTTTTATCCGTAACAAATATTTCAGTCCCAGCATTCCCAAGTATGTTATTTATTTCAAGGCTAGACACTGACCTGACCAAATGACCAAAAACCTGGGAGAGGTTAGAATCACTGGCCTTGCAAATAGTACAGTTTCATTAAAAAATGCACTACTGGCATTGTCCAGTGTCTCCAATCACATGTCAAGAGCTGATGATGGTTGTTCTTGATGCAGGAGGATTTTCTCTGTTTTCAGTCTGTGGTCTGAAACAGCAGTAAACCCTTATATTCCAGTGTGTTTTGTGGTATAATTATGTGCCTGTTTTGTAGTGATAAGACTGAATAGCAGCTGTTGCACTGATTTTACTACCTTGTCACATTCCCATTGCAATCTGCAAAGTTTATTATATTGTAAATAAAGACATTTTTTTTGTTATTTATTGGCGGCCATATATGCTCTACAGTGCAAGGCCAGAGCACGGTTGCATTCAAATAGGAAAAACTCTGGCATCAAGGACTACATTTCCAATATGTTATCTATTGGTACAGCACCAGCTGCTGCAGCTGAACGGTGAAGGGTGGGCATTGGACATCTAATCCCGATACGTCACTTGCAGGGGATTCAGAAAGCAGAAACCTGCCCCTGTTCACAGACGTCACCACCAGAGAGGTTGGAACGGGTAACTGGAAGCACGCAGACACAGGCAGACCATCGGGGGCGAGACATGACATATTAGCGCGTCGACAACACGAGGACAAGCCGCCGCACTGTGAAGCGCAGGGGTGTCTGTCGCTGCTGCACGGGAATGTCCAGCAGCCCTGAGGAGAAAAAATGAAGCGCAAGAGCGAAAGGAGGCGAGCCGAGTCGAGGAAAAAGCGCTGTGCAGCTCACAGCAGCTCAGAGGCGGAGCCAAACTCTGATATTTACATTGAGATAACAGGTAAGGGGGTCTGCAGAATGCACCCGGTCAACTTTGCGCACAGTTGGCAAATGCACGAAAGCGCGCACTACAGGCGAAACCCCCCCAAAAATGTCGTGCACTGACCACTGTGTGTGAACGTCTTTGATTTTTTCCCTGCTTTTGTCCTCTCATGGCGACACCGTCTGTCCCTTTAATGTTATTACAGCGGGTTTTGCCTCGATTTACCTTAGCTCCGTGCACATGAAACCTCCAACAATGAGCAGTTTTACTCGGGTATTTAATTTCAGAGCAGGGAATTGCGGCAGAGTTGCACCTTTTTGTTTTATGAAGTCGGTGTGAGGTGCGAGTGCATACTTAGAGGTGGTTTGCTGTATCAATGTCATAAATATCACAGTCAACCCACTGTCAGTTCCATTTATGTTTTATTTTCATATCTTTATGGCGTTTCCTGGTTCCCACATCCTCGGTGAGCTGAAAGAGGGGAGGTTCGTCGAAGTAGAAATCACAAATCTGACTGGCTAAGAGATCGTCCTAGCAACCGCTTGGGCAACGATCCCAGGGCCTATCATGTGTCTAATATCAAGAACTTTAAACTGAACTAGGCGGGGCAGAGCCTGACGTACGCGTTTGTCTACCAATCACGTAGTCCTCTGCATCTCTTGCAGCCAATAGCGTCCCGAGAACCGCCTCAGGGGAGGGGTCGCGCAGAGCTCATTTTTAGCAGAGTACGCACTTAGACACGAAACTCTCCGTCCTTCCCTCTTCGGCAAGTGACTTTCTCCACTTTAAAAGACTAAAGAAACCTTCCTTATCCCTTTTAAATTTACATTTTGCCACTTTAAACTTAACTATTCGCGTTTTATTTTTATTTTTTTTTTACCTAGCATGCGAAAGTCTCAGTGAAGAAAGTCACCCCGTGTGTTTCTGTATAAAAACGTCATGTTCAAAACAGTTTGCAAGATGACCGCGGACGATGTTTCGTCAGTGTGCATTGAGTTCATCAAAGGTAAGTCGCGAGAAAAAATACTTTTAAGAAGTATTAGACGAAGAGAGTTTTTTTTAATAATCAGCAGCATGCATGTGTTTACATGACAAAAAACAAGTAACTGCCTTTATTTTAATGTTGTCCCCTCCCTCTTCCCCTGTCATGTTCCTCCAGATCAACTGTATTTTGCCATACTTCAGCAAAAGATCAAGAGCACAGCTGAAAGACACTGTTTCTGCATCGATGAAGAACTGGCATATGAGAAGTGAGTAGTCATACTCACCACTTACTTGGATTACTAGTTTCCATATCGTGTGTGTCCCCTTTCTTTCTTTCTTTCTTTCTTCCTTTCTCTCCTTTTGGTCTGAGTGCCATAAAATAGGCACACCTCATGTTATCAAATGCTGATCTTTAACAGTAGGGTTTGTGTGAGTAGATGTGTACATAACTTGCCCCTTACTGTGATGTTACGCAATGTCATGGTGCATTGCAAAAGATATTCAACTTCAAAGCCAGTGGAAGAGGTTCCACTACTTGCTATTTTAGCAACATCAGGGCTTTTAAAGGATGGCTCACTAGGACAGGACTGACCTTTTAAAGTTTATGCTAGTGTTACAAAAAGACCTGGTGTTTGCAGCTTTTTGTCCTGTTCTGATTGACCCATGATGTTTCTAAATATAGCCTTTACTCTGTCAGTGTTTTTACAGTGTGAATCTTGGGTAGCCGATTCTGTCTAGTGAAACTTCCCTAGAGATGATAGCTGGCTGCATAAATAGCCACTGACACACTCTTTGTTCTCTGCTTTCTCTCTCTCCCTCTCTTAGCTTCTATGCGGACTTTGGTCCCCTTAACCTGGCCATGTTTTATCGCTTCTGCTGCAAGCTGACAAAGAAGCTCAAGGTAAAGTAAACTGATGCTCTTAATTTGCAGTTCCTGTAAGGGGGGGGGTCAATCAATAGCTTTTTATACCTACAGTAGGTAAACAAAGTAAAGTAGTGTTTGGGCTTTTATGTAATACAGTCAGCTGTCTTATTGTTTAATCTATGTACCTAATAGTGCAAACATGTTTGCGTTATTGCTTTGTGCTGAGACAGTTTACGTGTATTTGCATGTGAGCTGGAAAAGATGCTGATCACAGGCTGGGGCAGCTGAGCTCCTGTGCATAATTGATTTATTGATGGTTGTCCAGCCTTTTCAATTTAAGATATCTTTGCTTGTTGATCCTTGGTAGACCTAATGAATAACTTTTCAGTTATACAGGTAATCTTTTTTTTTTGTCACTCAAATAAATAAAGAATCACCTGTAATTTCATGTTGTTAATGTATTTGTGCAGTCCATTACACTCTCAAGGAAGAAGATCATATTTTATACATGTGGAGATCAGAAGAAGCAAGCCAATGCTGCCTATCTAATAGGCTCATATGCAGTAAGTTGTTTGCAAACATGTGTATTACAAATAACTTATGGACTTGTGCTGTGCCTAATGTAACAGAAATTATATTAGCATGTAATACATATGGCATTTGCTGATTGCACATTTGTATTTATAGGTAATGCATCTAAATATGTTGCCAGAGGAGGCCTACAGTCTGCTGATGTCAAGAAATTCATCATATATTCCATTCAGGTAACAGTTTGCAACACAATTTTTACTCAGACTAATTTAATAATAACAGTTTTAACTGCCATTCGCATTTTAATTTGATTTTCAAGTGTCTCTGACTGAAAGTATAAGTTTCTGGTTTCAGCCTCTCTTCATTAATCAAGGAGACTGTTAAGTGATAAGAGGAGCTGGGTGGGAGGGTTAAACTATACTGATTAAAGGAAAATGATAATAGATTAATTTCTATTCTAGTTATTGTTTTTTCTTAAAGGGGACCTATTAAGCGAAATTTCCAGTTCCAGGTTTCTCTTACTGGACTTTACTAGAGTTTCTCTGCACCATTCACAAATTAAAATAACACTTAGTTATAAATAGCGGACATTGGTGCAAGCTTGTAAAAAAAATTTAGCTCATTTTAGCTCTGCCTTTGAGCTAAATTTCTTCTGATTGGCTTACCTCAAAAGCATGTTATCATATCATTATAACTATCCAAAAAGAAGTAAAACATATTGGAAACCAAGGTTATAGAGCAGTCAGAAGCTTAAATTCACATAGGTTTCCTGCAGACATTGTTTAATATAAGCATCCACCATTGTAACAACATGTGTTTAACAGAAAATTTGAAATCATAATAGGTCCACTTTAACATACCTCAATGAAATTGCACAGCAAATTAAATATTGGAGCACTGTTTAGCCCCAACTACAACACAAGATTAAAGCACAATGCTACTGTGGCTCATCAGAATTATGACCGGGACCTTTAAGAGGAGGGGTCACACATGCTTTTTGAGAGGGAAAGAGAGAAAGAGTTCAGAATAAGAAGAAGTGATATCATATTCAGTGTTTAAATGAATATGAAATCCCATGTATGTTGTGCAGAACCTTAAATATGTTTTATATTTTACAGAGATGCTTCATTTGGAACCTGCATGTACAATCTGAACATCCTAGACTGTCTTCGTGGTGTGCACAAAGTATGTCATTTAAAGAATGAATTCCTTTTCTTTGTTGTATTAACACACCCTAACAAAATGACTTTCAATTCAACGCTCCGCTAGGCTTTGCATTATGGCTGGCTCGACTTCTCTAACTTTGATGTGGAAGAATATGAGCACTATGAGAGAGCAGAAAATGGAGACTTGAACTGGATCATTCCAGGAAAGTTCCTTGCATTCAGTGGGCCGCATCCAAAAAGCAAAATAGAGAATGGTAATTAAAGTACATTACAGGACTATGTCTCACCACATTTTAACACATCCTGAACTCACAAGAATGTTTTCCTTTCTTATTTTAGGGTACCCTTTGCACGCTCCTGAGGCCTACATCCCATACTTCAGGAAGCACAACATCACTACCATCATCAGACTCAACAAGAAGATGTATGATGCCCGACGTTTTACAGACTCTGGG